GTCTGGAGATACCTGCGCAAAGCAACATATGAGGGCGCCAGCTCGATGCGTCGGTTGCTTTGTGCAGGTATCTCCAGACTCACGGCACTGGTGGTCCTGTCCTGTCCTTCCCTCTTAGCAGGTGCTTCGACTGCGGAACTTCCTCCCAAGCGGCAAAATGACTTCCGAAACCGTTGATTTGTCAAAACTTAAGGTGAATAACAGTCTTCTCCCAGTGCGTACATCTACATCGTCTTCTTCTTAATTACGTCATGGGATTCGCATGTCCGCTTGTATTGGCAACGGATATGGTATTAATAATGCGGCCAGTGGGCGCCTAGGGAGCCAACCGCCGCATAGCGGCTAGTCGTCTAGCCAGATATCATTGCCGACAAAGACAAGGTAGACTACTTCGCACTCATCACCACGCTCGCATTCACCTGGCTTCGGAAAACACCGTGGACCTACTACGTCTCGATAATAGAAATATCGCGGAAATCCGGAACCGCTGGCAATCTAAGCTACTTTCACGCGTATTGGTCAAATAGCAGATGGATCTAAAAACCAAAAAACGGATATGCTATTGAAAAGGCAGCTCTATTGTTGTCAGTGGCCGCCTAGGAAGTTCAGTGACAAGTGTCGTGAGCTGCTCACGGAAGCTTTAACATCTACTGTTCGTTGCAGTTTCAAATGTCAGCTATTAGTGGTCATTTAATTGACCTGTGGCTTGCAGTAAGGTGGACCAACGATGACAGAAGCGGCACAACCTGACCAACCATATTGAACGCGGGTATGCAAGCACGAATGCTTATGAAGAATGCAAGCGACAGCGACTCTAGCCACAGAGAACGCAATTTACCAAAGAATACGTTGAACCACCAGACCCTCCCCCGCCGGTTAGAGTGCTGTTCACCAAGGAGTCTGTAAAAGACTGTTTGGGTAACAGGTGAATTGGTCGCCCAATTTGGATGACTTCTAGTACTGTAGTTACTTGAAGTTTTAATTTTGGTTTACTTTTAGCCCATTATTTAGTTTAGTTGTTTAGTTTTGATTTTAGTTTAGTTAGATACCGTCAGCTTCATATAAATACAGTTCGCGCCAGAATTCATGCAAAATGCCGACATATGTGAAGGATTTATACTCATTCGCTAATCGGCCTTGACTCAGGTTGTGATAATGATTATCGTGTAGCCTGTTCTGAAGTTATTTCAGTCATGAAAGGGTGCGAGCTTTTGAATGAGCTTCGTTCTGACCACTTCCTTCTCCTGCTCAGTATGGGAACGGCAAATCGTTGCGCTTGTTGACTGACTGTGAGCGCGAGGATTTCGGCCTCGTTAAACTTGCAAATATGGCCGGGTCCCAGGCTGGGAGTAAGCGTTTTCTTCCTCACCGCCGCTGCGTGCTTGGTCATTCGCATCCGGAGTAATCTCCCGGTCTCTCGAACGTAGTTGCTTTGTCCATAACTACACCAGACGCGGTAAACGATTACAGCCGTTCCCTGCCGTGGCAGTGGGTGTGTCGTTCTCATGACCCGGTGCCCGATTGTTATCTTCAGTAAAGGAATACTTTGTGTTGCTTTTAGGAGAGAACGCCTGTTGTACGGACGAAGACTCCTTTGGAGAAGAAGGCTTGCAATGATCTGCGGGATGAGCTGTGTGCACTGGCACCTCTGCTGGACATCACTCTCCCGCTGGATGCCGGCTTGGACGATGTGAATGCAAAGGACTTGATACGCTCAACTGAAAAACACACACAGGCAAGGGCGACATTATACATGCCTGCTTTTTGGTCATGATGCATGTTTTTGTAAGGAAGGCACTTCAATTGCTCGCCGGACCTAACGCCCTCATTATGCTGGCGCCAGCATGCCTGAGGCGAGGGAACACCCAGATGACTAATTACGCCCCCGCTCCTACCCCGATGACCACTTAAACACTATATATAACGGACCGTTTTAATTCTTGCAATTGTAGTGGCCTGATGACGAATTGCTGAAAACCCCTGTTTGCCAATATGACTTCTCACTTGATATTTCGTTACTGAACAGCGATCATGTTAGACCTCTAGTCACTTAAAGGAAGTTTCCTAGGGGAAGGGATTGGTCAACGTGAATCAATCGATTGATATATGATGACAAAGTCTAGCTATGAAATTTTAATCTACAGTTCTAGACTTTAGTTCGTTTAACGTGCTTGCGAAAACCTCGACGGCCTCGGTGGAATTCGAACACACGACAACAGGGGGGAGGCAACAGTACAGTCAACGCTTTAGCCAACCGAGTCATGGTAACCTCTCTGGGAGCCGCAAGTCTAGTAACACTTGGGTCAATTTACACATCCAGCCTACTGCAACTTATGGCATCCACTTATTTTCATAGATTAAGCTGACTGTTTAGGCAGGCTTTCCTAAACAATCAATCTAGAATCCTCCCGATGACTATCGGGCATACTTAACTGGTATGGGGGTTTGGCAGATTTTAATAATTCATTTGACCCTGTTGTGGAAACCTCGGTGGGATTCGAACCCACGTCAGCCAGGCGAAGGCTTTAGTTGAACCAATGCTCTTGCCAGCTGAGCTACGAGACCCCCATCGGGGGCCGTGAGTTTAACCACGCTTGGATCACTTAAATCCACCCAGCTTACTATAACGAAAGGAATCCACTTATTTTCATATGGTAAGCCGACCGCTCCGGCGGGTTTTCCTACCCAAGCATCGACCTACCAGACGCACTTGCCTTCAGAGACAGAAACGACTGAAAGGTTTCCTGTCGTTATTTATGCTTGAACGTATATCAATACCTACACACTGCTTTTGACTGCTTTATTTTTAATTCAGCCTTGAACTTCTTCAACGATCCTTACTTCAACGCCGATTTTATTTTTTCTCCTGCAGACGGGCAGTTCAGAATTTCCAGCTCTGAAGACGATACACTCGCAAGTGTCCCAGGCGGAAGCCCAGCTGGCCGAAATGCGTTCAGAGCTGGCAGCCACACGAGGTACCATAGTGCGTCAGGTGAAGCTTAGCTCTGACGAATTGGCAATCAAACTGCGTACCCAATTCTCCACCAGTTTCCTCGGACGTCTGATCGCTAATCAGGAGGCTGAGATTGAAAAGGTCAGAGCAGCGGCTCG